AATCATTCCTAGTCTATTCTTTATGAATTAAAAATATTTAAATATCATACAAAGTCATAGGTATTCTGTGGCTTAGAACTTGACCCACTTGTTCATTTATCTAATAATTTTTCCCAACTATATCTTACAATATTACAAAATATTTAAACCATGAAATATTTCCCATTAGTTGTATACTTTCCCCTTTAGCTACATCCCTAAAATCCATTTAAAATTAGAAAGAAATCATTGGGAATAAAAACAAAGACCACTAAAAACGTTTAAAGATTTTAACCCACTTTTACCGATGGCGTTAAATACCCCCAAAGAAAGACAACAAAAATAAAAGTTTTGAAGGTAAAAATAGACAAAAAAAGAACAACTTCAAACTTATCTAAGAACACAATGAGCTACTGACGAGCTGAACGGTTATGATTGTTTGCACAAGCCACTTACTAAGTGGCCTACCGGCTGCGGAAAAGGTGCCAAAAACACAAGTATTGCCAATTGCCAACTGCTGACTACTACCAACTACCGCGAAGCGACTGCCAACTGCAATGAGGAAGGTCAGTGTGTGGTTAATTACCAAAACCGAACCCAGCCCAGGCCCAAGCGGAATGGCAACACCCGCGATCTGTCATCAAACTGGTCAAAAAAGATTTGAGTACAGAGGAAATAGTTTGTAAGGAAAATATGGGAAATTATTTAATATTTATAATTTAATATATATTAAAAAAAAAGACATTTAATATTAAAAATTAAATTTAAATATAATCCCCTGCACTCATGAAAGTTCAAAAATAATAAATACTTCAAGACTCACCTACCAATCCCAAACTAATTTGTTCTCAGTGCATCTACACTGTATTATCCAAGTACCATTGAACTCTCGTCGTCGAAACCTAACTTAAAGACGAGATGGGAGCCACAGTTAGAATTCCATCAGTGCAAGTGGCACGGTAAACAGCAACAAGTTGGCCCAATGAGAGAGAATGCCTGGCCTAACTGTTTACCGGCGTTTTAACGATGGTCAAGTGATGATGACGAGGAGGACGAGGAGGAGGAGGTGGTGGTGGGGAGTGTCTACCTCTATGGGGCGGAAGAATGTGCGTGGGCGTGGCCCAAACATTGACAAATCATCTTGACACCTTCGGACTGTCATAAAAATGGGTTACGGACATGATTTGCAATGCAATAAACTTAATTGAGTGCGCGTCAGATTTTAATTTTAACCCGAGAACCGCAAACAGATGAACCGAAACTGGTTTTTGTACGGATTCCCACCCATCCGATTGTATATAAAATGCACAAAAAATAATATATATAAAGATCTTAACAAACGGAATCTTAACTCTCCGGTATTAACCAAAAAGAATGAGCTGCTTCTAAGGCGCGAAGTCGTAAAACTCTGATGCCGTCATGGTTCCCTTTCGATATTCGTTTTAACGATGTCATTAAAAAAGTCTCCAACATTGTTGTTGTTATATATAGATATATATAAGACAGATTTGTTTTTTTGGGGGATTTAATTATTGCATTATAAAAAATGTTGAGTTCGCGGCCGTTTAAATGGCGCCAAATTGTTAATAATCGTCGCACATATTTCTTTTTCGGTCATCATTATTAAGGAATTTTGTGAATTTAGTGGTTAAGCTATTAAATGATTACAATGCTCATAAATCGGAACTGATTTTATGATCAAAGTGTTGACGTATATACATATATACAAATGTATCGGCATCTAGGTTGCCTTGGACGACTTTAGAGTTATTTTAAAACATGGGAAAATCCCTTTAAAAAAATATTGAGAAATAAAATAAAAATGTGCAAATAATACGTAAATATTATATTTTTAGATAAATATTTTTAGATACTTTATAACTCCTTAAATACGAATTTATGTAAATTTATAAGTAAGAAATTCATTTATTTTTTGGAGCCGATCAACTGGACCTTAGACATTTTTCTAAATTATAAGAATATCCTTATTAAAAAATTAAGCTAACATTTAAAAATATCATATAGTTTGTCATATTTAAATAGTTAAGTAATTAAAGATTTTAGATCTAAAATATGAATTCTAGTGTGAAATTTGTCCCATATTATTTTATCAGATGAACGGAAAATAATTACAATCAATTAAAATCTTTAAATTTTCTCAAATTTCTTACCATATCTCTGTGGAAACCCAGCTAACTTCTCTCATCCCTCAACTGCAACTTTATCTTTATGCTAATTTTTTTCATATTTAATTTGCAACAATTAAATTAAGATGCAAACACTAATCTCCCATAATGGCCGCTTGTCGACAGAGTTGGCTAAATCCCCACGTAAGCTGCACTTGAAAAATGGCCACGAGAAAAATAGAAAATCAACATGAATATGAATGTCTCCCAAAGCTGAAGAGACTGCCGAGGCATTTCCGTCACTTAAGCCAAGGCTTAAAATGTTTCTTCATTAGAATAAGTGTCATAAAAATAAACGCATAAAAACATCTGCCTCTTTCTCTCCATCTCTATCAGATATAACCCAGGCTCTAAGCGGATCTAATCATTTTCCCATAAACAGCCAGTCGACCAGCCGGCGATGCTCAACTAAAATCTGCTTAAATTTCACCTGACACGCTAATTTGGCTAATAAACATTCAACAATGACAACAAAAAAGTTAACCACAAAATTCAAATGAAATTTTTTTAGGAAGGCGCCAAGCCAAGCTATATTTTGTTGATATTTAAGCAAGAAAGTAATAAATGTATACAAATATAGTCTGTCGTACATACATATACATATGTATATAGTATAGTATAGCAACATTCCTGGCCGACATTGTTCTTGCACTTGGGTAATAAATTCAACTCAAAACCAGTGAGCTATTTGGCTTTTTGAGTTATTTTGACGCCAAAACCGAGAGACGTATTCTAATGCAAATTTCGATTTTTATTTGTTTGGGTTTTTGATATTTCCCACTCCCCAACTGACTGACTAAATATAAAAACCTGCTGATCCACCCAGGGAAGGTGTAACATTTAAATGACGAACAAAACGGGGCGGGACTCTACTTAATATTTAAGGTTTCTCAGAAAAAAAGAAACTAGTTAACTGAACAATAGCACATGAATATAGTTTCTTGATAGATTTATGTATATATATAAAATGTGTTCTTAGGAAAATCTCTTTGAGGTACCAAGTACTGGGTACATTAAATTATTTATTTAATTTGATTTAAGTCCTTGAAGTAACAGGAAATCGGAAATAAATAAGGAAATGTTTTTAATATCTTTTAAAACCGGTTTTAACCTATTTATTATATTATTCTAATTTTTAATTATTAATTCAAATGACCCATCTTAAGCCCTAGGAAAATGTTTTAACTAGATAAATGAATTTTAAAATAAATATTATTTTGAATAATAACATTTATTCCAAAGTTTAAAAAATTCTTTCCAAAGGTAAACACTCTCTTAAAACCTCACAAAAAAATTATGTTCAACAAAGGCTTCTACCACATTTTAATTATTTAAAAATACAAATAATATTCAAATTTTAATAATACAACTGCCCTCATAATAAACCCAAGATTCTATTATCAATTCCACAGTTTAAAGCCAGGCGAGAGCATCTCGATAGCCTCGCAGACAGATCACTGATCGCGCTTTACAAAAGTGGCAAGTGCTTTGCGTATTTAAATTTATTGCTTAACAAATTTATTTTTTGTTAAACAAATTTATAAATTATTGCCGCGAGAGTATAATAAAATTTCATTAGCGACGCTTTGCCGACGGCTTTTTGGCTGGAAATATATATAAGGCGTTGGCGTGGCGCGTTTCGCGCTTTCCGACCTTTTTTTTCTTGTAGATTTTATTTTTGATTATTTTTTTTACCAATTTTCGCTTAGAGGCGCGATCGCAGAAACACGGCGCCAGAGCAGCTTTAGCTTTGCAGGTTGACTGGCTGCTGCGACACAGAAAACGCTGGTTAATTAATTTCAGACACGCCATACATCTCGGGTACTTTGCATAAATTAATATGAGATCTCTATTTATGATTTATTCGGTGTCAACATCAGCCCGGACATCTATCAAATATTTTCCCAAATTTACAACAAAAGCAGAAGACCCTACACTATAGTTTTTTATTTTTTTTGTGATGGAAATATATTTTCGATAAATCGCCCACGCATTTTGCACGCGACTTTGTGGCGTCTGGGCGACCGCCAGATATAATTTATTGTTATCCGTAACAGATTGAGGTCAGGCTGGACATTTACACATTGTCACATTGTTGTAGATTCTTATCAATTGTTACACGATTTTCGAATTATGCCTTGATTTTTCCCCGCTCCCCTGAAAATTTGTTGTGTCTGCCTTGGAATGCGCATTTTGAAAGGGAATTCCAATTCAAATTGGGTGATCACCGAAAGCCGAGAGATGTTTCCGTATTGCGAGATGAGCTGTGGGAAGTATTTGGAAATTGTCTCGTTTCTTGGGGGATTTTATAAAGATATTATTTTAATTTTAATTGTTTTATGAGGAATTTTAGGAGGTTTTAATGTAACTTTAAAATAAATTCTAGAGCAAATTGGGTTTAATCAAGCCATCAGTTTTTAAAAAAATATATTAAAAGTATTGGTAGTTTTGTCCGTTAATAAAAATGTGCTAAAAATGTATAAGTTTTTTATGTAACAATCCAAATAGAACATGAATATGAAACCTTAATGAAGTCCATTATAAACCTTGATTTCCTACAGAAAATATGTAGAAGTATTAAATTTCATAAGCATGATCTGCCTCAGGCAACCAAATTGGTTTACTCTTGGCCAAAAAAAAATACTATAAATTCTTAAATATTTTAAAATAGACAACAGACCATGATTTCATCGATAACCCCCAAAAAAAAACTTTTAATTTATCTCAAATAAATCCAATCAAGTAGAAAATTTCAATTAATCCAATTAAATTCCCATAATGCTCGGAAAATTCCCTTCAAATTTTCAAAACTTTCGAAAACCCTTCCCAAACTATTTAATTTTTCGAAATAAATACCACATGTTTGTATTGTACTATATGTGTTTCATATTTATTATTTTGAATTCGTATCATTTCATCGTCATTCGCAAATTGCTCATTGTAATTACTATTATGGTTATTATTTGTCAGCAGCCCATTATCATTATGATTCTGATTATTGTTAACAACATTAATATTCTCGTTATGATTATCAATATTAGGTTGTTGCTGCTGCTGTTGTTGCTGTTGCTGTTGCAACTCCTGTAGGCCACGAAAAAGTTTATTTAGAATCAGCTCCTCGTGCTCCTCATCGTTCGTATCGTCGATTATATTATTAGCATCAATATGATTGCGATTCTCCACAACAGCATCCTCGCTCGCTGTCTCCTGTAACTTCATCTGCATCTTCATCTCCATTTCCACCTTCATCTCCCTCTCACCTGCTTCGGGCACCTCCTCAATTCGATCGTTTAATTGCTTAAGATTATTGTCAATATTCTGATTGAACGCGCTGTGGCTATGGCTATCGCTATGGCTATTGCTATGGCTATGGCTATGGCTATGGCTATTTGGACTATCGAACTTAGTGCTAGTCTCTAAACTACTAGAATCAGTCGTGCTACTTTTAGTATTCAAATTATAATGCTCGTTACTGTACAAGTAGTTGTAGTTTTTTGGCAAGGCAGGTATTGCATGATTAACATTAATGCTATTACTACTGTTTAGTGGGTTGTTTAAGTTACTATTAACATAGGGTTTTGAGTATTCAGTGTTTTGTGGCTGCTGCCGCTGCGAGGGTAGTTCCACCAGTTGCATATCGGCAGCAGGGGGTGGCTGGGAGGCTCCACCACTCTTGCTGCTGCTGGCCACCGCTGCCGAGCGTTTTCGCCTGTCTCGCTTGCGACGACTGGCGGCCACAATGGCCACCAAATTGAAGGCGCTGGGCGCCAAGGAAGCAGCCGTGGCTGTCAGTGCCGTCGATGTGGCCGTCGAGGAGGAGGAGGAGGAGGAGCTCGAGGCCGACGAGGTGGCGGCCTTGGGCAAATGATGCTCCTCCCGCTCATGCTCTTGCTGCTCCCGCTCCCAAAGCTCACGCTGCAGCTTGTGTTGCTGCCGCTCCAAACGACGACGGCGGCGACGCTCCATTATGGTGGCATTCTTGTGATGATGACGCACCTCTAGATTTTTGGGCTGCGGCTGAGCCATTAGGCCCACTGTGCGCCGGGATCCCTGCTGACGGTGCTTGTGGCGACGCTCTTGCTGCTGCTGCTTCTTTAGCCTGTGCTGCTTCCGGTTCCGCTGCAGGATCTTCTGCTGCTGCAGCAAATCTTCATCTTCGTCGTTGTTGCTATTGGCTTGATTGTAGGACTTAAGGCTATTGCTCTGGCTCCGGCTCTCGCTGGGTATGCTATCGCTATTAATACTTGTTGGGCGACGCGATTTTGAACGCGTGCGTTTTGTGCCCGCCACTGGGCTCAATGTTGTTGTGGTTATTGGTGTTGGTGTTGTGGTTGGTGTTTTTGTGGTAGTACTGGGTGGTTTTGTTGTTGTTGTTGTTGTGGATGTTGTTGATGTAGTTCTTGTTGTTTTTATGGTCTTGGTTTTCTCAGTATGATTTTTAAGATGACGCAATAATCTGCGGAATTTCTCCTCGTCAAGGCTAAAGAAAAAGAAGGTGGCCTTTTTCATCACATGAGGCTTGGCCAAATCCTTGGGGCCAACTGGGCGAAAGTTGTGCTTGAAGCCAACATGCAGCACTGGATTGTAGGCATGGGTATACTGGTGATGGCCATTAACCATTGACTCCCTGAAGTGGCAGTCCTTTGTGGCGTTTCTCTAAAGGAATTGAATGGAAACGAAAAAGAAATTGGGAAGGAAATTAAGTTAGTGGATGGCTTTTTTTTTTTTTTTAATTTTTTAATACTAATAATATTTTTATTTATTTTTTATATTTTTATAAAAATAAAGGAAAAGGTAAACTTGTTAGAAGCTATTTCAAAATTTAAATAATCATAAAAGAGTTAGAAAATCCTCCAAAGGCTCTTTTACTGCAAAATCTCTTGAAAAATACTCTACTCCTATTAAATTTAATTTAATATCCACAAACAAACTCACCTTTCCAACAAGTCTGCCTTGATGAAAGCACAGAAAGTAGTTGACATCCCCGGCATAGATGGTGATTCTGAAATCCATAAAATCCATAACATCGCCGACACTGTCCATTGTGAAGAACTCTAGAAACAGAGAACAAAATCCAAAAAAATTAATTAATTATTGGCAAACAAACAAAGTGCGTGTGGTACTGGGTATTGTGTAAATATTTAATGGAACTGGAACTGGAGCCCACTTGAGGCCCATACAGATAACCCAATTAATTGAAAGGTTTTTGATAAAGTTATGAAGGGGCCAGGCTAGGGGCTTTTTGATTAGAATGGCTAGAATACTAGGTGTGAAGTCTGTGTGAAACATTTAATGAAATCAATAAATCAACTAAGTCAATTACCGGCGCTGCTGAGTCGTTGAACTCGATCTTAGCTGAAAAAGGGTTTAACCCTGAAATGCTAGACCTAAGCCTGATAATTCGGTTCTCGATTTTGGGGATTTCGAGGGGAAGACCTTCACTGCAGCAAATCGATCATACAGGTAGGTGTATTATTTGTATATATATAACCCTCCACTATTTAGTATCACCTGCCCCGTCGACTGATAAGATAAAATACCAAACTGAGAATTTATTTCCTATTTTCTTGAATTGGGTTTTAATTTACGCATAAAGGCAGCCGGGATTGCGTTTCACGTGTGTGTCCCTTGACTTATCTGTGACGCAATGCGGCGCCTGATCTTGTCACTTTCGCTCACCCGTCAACCCACAATGGACTGACGAGGGCTGCTCCTGAACTTCGGAGCTTCAGAGGCTTGGAAGAAACCGCAGCAGCAGCAAATGAATTCCGAATAAATTAAGAGCAAGCGAGCCGGGCGAGCAAACAAAACAAAAGCGAAACCGCAATGGGCGCCGCCGCCGCTTGGCGGTTCATAACATCAATCAAATATTAAATTACCAATAATTTAATTAAGCACACAATATGCACAGCCACAGTCGAAGACCCAGACCCAGACAGAGTTCAAAATGTACAGATGGGAGTAAATAAAGGGGATTTTAAGAGAAATTTTAACTTTTTAAAGGAAAATGTCCTAAAATTAATCAAATTAAGTTAATACAAATAATTTAATTCAAAACAAGTTCACACTGACTTTAAAAATAATTAAAACAGCTGAAACAAAATAGTAAATATTTCAAAGACTTTAAATTAGAATTAATACAAAAATAATGAAGAGTCTTATAAAAACAAAACTGATTGTTAAAATTTCATTTAAATTAATTTTGAATATTTTTAAATATTTAAATATTTTTTAATATTTGTTCATCTTTAAAGAGTCTTTCCTGTATATCCAAACATACCCATCTATATCTGCTTGTATAAATGCCAATTTAATTTAAATGCCAATGGTAATTGATGAACGCCAGTTCGCATGAGTAAGAGCTCTCTCGGTTCGGTTCAGATCGGGGTCTTTATAAGATATATAAAATATTATAGAACACTTACGTGCCAGCGAGATGTCCTCGGCGCTCACTTTGCCGTGCGAATTGATGTGCATCGCACGGTTGCTGTGGTCCTTCAGAGTTAAAACATAGCCTTTTTTCTCGGCGCATGTTTGCATCGCAAAGGCAACCACAACAATCTGCAAAAAAGAGAAAAAAAAAACACTACGATTAATGGCCAATTCATCTGCATTAAAGCCACATCTGGCGACTAATCCTGCCCAGAACAGAACAGCTCGAAACCCTTTTCTTTTTGCCACATAAATTTCCATTAATACGATGAGCTTTTTATTACGCCGCCTGAAGCCGAAGCCCTGAAGCACATGCGACACCGAGAATTTTATGGTCAAAGTTGGCCAACTGGTGTGTGGGCCATTTGGCCGTGTTATGGTAGTCCAGGTAATTGGTTTCTCAATGGGATGTTGTCCTAAGCTTTGACATTCGGCAGATACTGCAGTGAGAGAGTTCCCATGCATGTAGATTGGGTTAAATGAAAATCTTGCGGGGGGGAAACTGTCCTATTACGAAATTTAATTGCTTGGGAATTGCAGGAAAGAATCTGGATTTTTCAGAGAGGGGATTAAAGTTCTAACTGGAGTTTTGTAGAGATCAAGAGGAGTTTTGTAGAGATCAAAAGGGGGTTTATAAATAGTTGAAAAAATTATTAAGGGGTCTGAGTTTATGACTGGAGTTTGTAGCCTGGTAAATCCTGAATCATATCGATATTTTCGAGTGTTCTAATATTTCTATACAGTTTTTATATATTTTTTGTTTTGTTTTATAGGTCTTAAGAATGTTTTTATAATTTTTAAAAATTTTCTTTTAATATTTGCTTTACCTTGATAGGCCTTTAAAAGTGTTCTAATATTTTTAGAAATTTTTTAAACATTATTTTCTTTACTTTTATAGGTCTTAAAATTGTCTTATATTTTCTAGAAATATTAAAGTACAAAGTCTGATCAGCCTTAATTATATTTCACCACCCGACACGTGTCTATCGCATGCTTCTTACCTCTTCAATGGCACGTTTTTGAACGAATTTTTGGACTATTACCTCCCATATCACAATTATTATTCAGAGATAAAGAATATATGCAAAATCAGCAAAACAAGCCAATGGGCCAGAAAAATGACATATATAGTATATATATAGAGAGAGCGTGGCGAGTGCAAATCGAGTATTTATCAGGGCTTAGATTCCAAAACAGGCTCATACATCATATAGCCACACGGCACCAAGGAAGACCCATAACCAGCATAGGCTATTTTCGGGGTAATTGCCAAAAATAACGCTGGACTTTAGCTGAGGGCTTAAGAGGGCTTTTTGGTAAGCGATAGCTACAAGTTGCAGATTTATCGGTAAGAAACATTCACCATCTTCTGTTTTTTTTTTTTTTTTTTTTTTTTTCATCTAAGTTGTAAGACTTTCGAATTGACAAGAGATAGATGAGGGCTAGACCTTCTGTTTGCACTGATCAGAAAAAAATATAGTTTTGGAATGCCAGGCCGACCTTTTCCAAAGCACAGTTCAATGACGCGTCGTGTATGTGTAACAATCATAATCATAATAATAATTATTATTATTTTTTTATGGGCCGCCCTCAAGTGGAAGAGGAGAGCCGAGAGCCACTCCAATGTACACACACGCTTCCCATATCAAACACACTCGACTCCAAACCCCCCACACTCTATCTTTTGGAACGAATAAAAAATATTTTGACATTTCTCAAGATAATTATATTCAGAGTGTTGAAAACGAGTCAGCTTTGGGATGGAGATTGGAGATCAAGATTGAAGATCTCCAGATGGTTTTTGCCCAGCCAAAAACTGGATCAAGGCTTTTTGGGGAGGTACATATTCTGTTAAGGGGGATTTCCCAAAATATTTACTAGTAAATCTTATTATTTTATTATTTTTAAATATAATATTACTCACCATCAGTATAAAAATAGTCCTGACATTGGGCAGCGTGAACTGTAGTAACCTGCAAGTAATACGAAAACGATGAGTATTTTTATTATTATTCAGTTAGTTATTCAAACAAAACAACTATAAAAGACTCAAGTGTGATGATTCAAAAAAAAAAAAATTTGCATAAGTCTTACAGATTATTAATGATTATTATTGAGTTTATTGATTTGTTTTCAACTTTATTCGTTTTGTTTTTTGTTTTGCTTCGAACTTCCGTCTTGAACAACAATTAAGTCATTTTACTGATCGTGAGCTCTCTGGAAAAAATTGATTAAACAAAAATCTGAACAAAAAAATTTAAACAACGAAAGATATTCCCTGAATATTCATCAAGAGCCCTTCCTGGCTCAATGTCACCCCACAAGTGGCCACTCGGAAAAGGCTAAAGAAAAATCTAGTTGTATAGTTTTGTTTAAGTATTTTTCTTTTATTTTATTTTATCGATTCTTGCCATATATATATGTTTTTGCTTTCCTTAGACTATACATATTCCATTTCACGACCAACTACTAATCCCCGGGCCCACAAAGGTCATTGATTTCAGCTTAGCACTGAACTGAACTGAACTACAAAAAAGCAGCAAAGAAGCGAACAAAAAACAGAACTCAAGACCCCAAGAAGGGTAGTTTCTTGAGACGAAGGTCTCTGCCTTCTTTTTTATTTTTTATGAAAAGTGAAAACGCAGAAAGAATCCAAAGCTGAAGAAATCAATACAGCCAAACGAGAGTCAAAAGCTAAAGGCAGCCTTAGGAGGTTGGTCCTCTGAGTCCTTAACCCTAACCTTAAGCATCTGTCCTCGCAGTGGGCAGTCCCGAAAAAAATACAAAAAAATAATAAATAAAGCTAAAAGAAATCTGCAAAAATGCCTGATGGCGTGCGATTTTTATCATTTTTCAATTTCACAGCAGACAATAAAGTTCATTTGAAATGTGCAGACGCACACTTGCAGGCCAAATATTCCAATTAAATGGTTTCAGACTTGAAGCAATTTATTTTTAGCTGAAGTTCTCAATACACTTTTGCACAGCTTTCCCGAAAGGTGATCAATAGACGACAATTCTGGAATTTTTTGGCAATAGCTTAGGTAGAGTTTTGAGTTAGTTTCGTGGGCTGGCAACCGCAACAAAAGGCACAACTGAAATTGAAACCAAAAACTTTTAAAAGTTCTCTAAGACCAGACATAAAGGGCCACGCGGTTATGCACAGGAAGAAATTATTTTATGAGATATAGAAATTTCTAAGATAGTATATAATTTAAGTAATATTAATATTCTATTTATAAAAAACTGTTAAAAAGGTAATTAAATATTGAATAAATCACATTTATGAGGCTTAGATATTTCTAAGAAAAACATATATAAATAAATTTTCTTAATAATACATCATTTTTATGAAGCTTAAGAATTTCTAAGAAGGAATGAATGAAATTACTAATATAATATTATTTGTAATAAATTATTAAAAATCAATCATATTTTTAAGAATTGGAAATGTTAAAGTAAGAAATTAATGAAATTACTAATAATGTATAAATCATAAACAGTCTTAAGCTAACCCCTGACTCACTTAATATTTCCTGTTTTAATTTTAAGATAAACTAAGCCAAGTCTGACTTTATTATATGACCTAATATAAAATCGTTCTAAGCTATGACTCAGCTTTTGCTATAAATATCATATTAGGCACATTTTCTGGCTGTGCCAAAGAGAGAGAGATTTCCCATGTATGTAACTCGATATATCTCGTTCTATATGGGGAGTAGCCTCCTCTGTCTGTGCTTCACTTTTGTTCGCTTCTGCGACTCATAATTACCTTATTTGGTATGCAGACAGGAGCTTCCAGAACGGAGCCACCAAGGGTCTCAGCTCCTACCGAAAAAATAAAGGGTCCCCCCAATCTATCGTTGGGTGTATGCCCTGAATAATGAATAGCTATATATACCAGAAATATATATATATATAAAGTACAAACAATAGTTTTGTTAGAAGATTTGCTTAGCCTACGTGACTACAAGAGACCACCCCGAAAGAGGAGCTTGGAATATATATATTTCATTCATTGAGTAACTTCAGGACAGTAAAAACTCGTTTCGAATACTACTCAATCTAATCAGTATAAATGTCCAGGCTTTTAATAAACTAATATAGTTGCATAATGCACTCTTAATACTCTTATAAATCTCCCATTTAAATTTGCTTTAATTTTTCGTTTGATTTAATTCGGATTTCAATTCAAATGCAAACTAGTTTGGCTCTTTGACTGGAGAGCACGTGTTGGCATCTGGACTTTAACACTTGTTGCTTCCAAACACTCTAAATATGTATATATATTTGTATATATTTATACAAAAAATACATATTGGCATCTGTGGAATGTGACTGTGATTAGATTAGGCCGCGAAAATGAATTGGCAGTACAGGCCGACAGGGGAGATTTGCCAGAAGATATAGCCATAAAGTGATAATACACAACATTCACTCCTGATTGCCGGCACGTGGCCCAAAGGGTAATCCATCATGCAATTAAGGTCCTGTATGGCCACGTGTCATGGTAAAAGTAAGTGTGAAAATTCGGTATTTATTCTTTTTTTTCTCCTATAAAGCATATATACATATATATGTATTTTTCCAGCCGCAAATGCAATTTGTGTTGCTTTTGTTTTAAGGGTTGGCTGGGTTGGTTGTTACTTAATACTCCTCTTGCATCATCATCATCCACCTTGCGCTTTTCCGGAGCCCCGAACCCACCCTCATTCCCTGGAACCCCTGGCTTTTCTACCGGCTGCAACTGCAGCCGACTTAATGAAGTTCCAACTGAAAAAAGGGATGTATAAACACACACACAGATATATAAAACACACACACTCTATGACTTTGACAGTTGCCAGTTTGGGTTTTGAGTTGCCATTGTGATTTTTTTTACATATGTATATTTTTTTCCTGTAAGACGGCGCCGAGCTGGTGGGCATTATGTTCTATATATGTATAAATATTTATATTTTTATTCAGTTAAACTGCAACAGGCAGTGGGTGTTGATTTGGCTTGGGTTTTGGTTTCGGTTTCGAGCTGGCAATGTGAAGTATGCGCTTTAATGCGACTCGAGAAGTAGAACAATATGCAAATACCATTAAGAGTTGGACAGATTGAGAGGGAATTAATGAATAAGTGACAGAAAATTATTTGAAAAAATTAATAAAACAATTTTAGTGTACAACTCGCAAATCTCAAAGTTAAAAAAAATTAATTTCCCTTCATTTTCTAAATAAGTTTTCCATAATTTTCCTCTGCTTTAATTAAGAGTCTTAAGTCAAAAAACTTTGCATACTTTTGGCACTAAGATGGCCCTCCCTTTCGGCCTCTTGAACTTGCCCAGCCAAGCCGCCAAAGCAACGCCCCAAATAAAAAAAAAAAAAACACACACAGAACCTCTATACACAAATACTGTTATAGCGAAATATGGGAATGGGTATCCGTGAGAGTTCAGTGTACTCCCGCGATAAGCTAATGTTGTTTTCAGACTGTTCAGTAGATATATAGACAGAGAAGAGCGAATCATTTGATGTTGGAATAATAATTCTTGGCAGCGCAGTGTCAAGGCTGGTCTGTGAAGGTGGAGGAGAAATGCTAAAACTCATGAAATGCTGTCGTGACAACACACAAATCTGAACTCATTAGCACAGGACGCTCCTCTCACCTTTTGAAGGCACAGAGAAAAATTTAGAAATAGACTAAGAGCTTCAGTAAGAAACAAGAGGGAATTTAACTATATTTTAATATTTTTAAGAATATTTTAGAATTATTCGAGGATGTGTTGTATTTAAATATATTTCTAATAATTTATTTCGAATCGTTTTATATTCTAATAAATTTTTACTAATTATATTTTGAGTAATAATGTTTTAAAAATATAATAAGCTAAATTATATATTTAAAAACATAAAATAATTATCTTTTTGTACTTTAAACCTTATTTAGGCCCTTTAAAAATTAATAACACCTTCCATATATATTAACTCAACATTCAAAGTGGCTTTCAAGTGATTTCAGGTTCAAAACCGATAAGGTTTAAGAGGTAATTTTATTAATAAGTCCATTATAGCAGACTTATACGAGATTACTTAATTTACCCAGACATGTCAAGTATTTTTTTTACTTATTTATATATATATTAATAGAGGGGTTGTATCTAATACGATTTCAGCCAGCCGGGACAGCTGCACCCGTCAGAGGTGATAAGCCGCTTTTGCGCCCTTTTGGGCTACTTAAGTGGCAGTCGAATATATATACGGCACTCTTTTTTTCCTATACCTATATATATATATATATATATACCTACCTATATTCAGCAACTTTCCCAAAGTGTCAACAGACTGCGGCTGCGACTGGCGACGAAATCAATGAGACGCTGGCAAGTTTAAGGCAAACACAAGGCAAGTGCAGCGACTGAATTTGTCTAGGGACTGTGCCGACTCAAACGACGACGACGGCGGCTACTCAAATATGACACCTTTTTTCTGGAAGTAAGTTATAATTGCCTAGCACCTGAGACGCAACTGGAAAAGCAATGGGAGGCTCTGTTTCATTTTCCATTCGCACTAAATTGTGGGCTTAAATGGCCAACACATCTGATATCGAAATCGATCAGTTAACTTATCAAGGAATTATACTTCCATAAAAGCTAGTTTTACATTACTGTAAATATTTGATTACCGATAGACGATAGACGATGGTCGATAGCTGCTTGGCCAATAAATCACCAAGACAATAAACGAGAAAAGATAAATCAAATGCCAAGCTGATTAGCACTAACCAAAGCCATTTTTTTCTCCTGAAAAGCTTAACTTTCTATACCAATTATGTTTTATTTTTGTTGTACAGCCAAAAGTGGGTGTGTTTTGTTGGTTTTATTTACGAAACTTTAAGCTCACAGATGACAACATCAATAAAACAAGAAATGCCGAGAGCCTATAGGTCAGGTGCATCGTCTTTTTCTTTGCAACCGAAATTCCCAAGCAAATATTTAAACACACAAAAATATTTCTCAAAGAAAGCGTACTTATCAGAGTTGTAAAAACCTTCGTAGTAAAAATTTTTCTATATAGTGAGGGGGTCTGGGTTTTGTGATAGGGTCTTTTTTGCCCTCTTTTACTTGCTTTTTTTCTTGTGACGAAAAAAGCAAAACAAACTGTAAACACTTGACGGCCGCATGGTTTCTTTTTTGGCGCATTGTTATTATTATTCTATATGTAGATATAGTAAGCGTAGTACGGCGTATATACATATATTTTTTGTGAACGTGTTCTCTGGCCTGATAAGATAAAGACCACAAGTTGGTCGAACTTGCTGCAAGAGACGTTCGCCCTCGGCTTAGATCTAGCTCTCACTTGTGAGCCTGGCCATAAAGCCATCGAATTTTAGATTCCTCAGCTTATCGCCTTTTCTCAAATCGAAATCCAGACAGATTTCCACAGGCTATGTCTGGTATGTCCAACCTAACCGAATTTTTTACGCTTTAAGGTGATAAGAATAAACAAATTCAGCCGTGACTTTCGTATAGTATAAGGCATAGCTTCTGATCCCAGCCTGTGACTAATCGTTTCGTATACTATATAGGGGAGAAGCATCATCATCATTACTGATAGAGGAACGTGCCTTTAGGGGTACCCGATTCCGGTTAGAACGGGAGCTGTGGCGTCATATGTTTGGGAGCCCATTATTAACAATTTTTCGCATCGATTTTTTAAGCTTTTTTTATATACAGCTTTTTTTCAACCGCCCGTAACCTAATTATAAATAATAAAAAAGGGGGTGAAAAATATAGTGAATGTGACATTTTTTGCCTTTACACTTAGCGTTTTTTAGACGCCAGCAAACTTTTGTTGTTGGCCTGTTAATTTCCTCAAACTTTTTGTGGAAGCGTACTTTGAACTTGCTTAAAATAAATAGTAAAATTTACACGTTTGCTGATAATTTAATATTTTTGAAAATAATTAGCTCAAAGGGGGTTGGGAAAATTAACGTAAAAATATATTTTTAACATATATAAGCTTTTTATTTATTTTCTAGAAACTCTTTTAAACTTTACAGATTTTCCTACAAAAATTGCCTCTACCAGGAATTGTCTATATAAATATTTATTTTTATAAACTTTTAGTAAGGAAAAACTGTTTGCCACATTTTTCCCCACAAAACTGCAATGGAAAAAAGTTTAGTTTTACTTGGCCAAGGTTGTCTGGTGACTCGAAAGATTCTGTTTCTGGGCTCGATTGCATTAATCAAAGCTGCAGAAAATATGTGCCAAGTCACACACACAGAAAAATACTAGTATTTATGATGTTTTGGCCGGTCAGCCTCGTGCCTCGACTCCAAGCAAATCATAAATCTTAATAAAACTCTCAAGAGCTGAAAAAGGTGAGATTAATTTTTGAGGTATAAATTTCGAGGGGTTTCAAGCAAAGATCACCCCCCAAAAAAATGTATCTTCTTCGGGCTTATCATAGAGAACACACACTTTTCGTGGCCTTATCTGTTCATATTTCCGTTTAATTAATAAAAGAAGCGTACAATTTGAAATTATCAAATCAAATATTGTTGATTTTTACGGGCGTGGCTTTGTTTGCTTTGGAAAATGTTTAACTTGTCTAAAGTTTTGAGTTTGAGTTTCTATTTTTTATGTCCCAGAGATTGATCGGTTTTAATGGATTTTTTAGGCTTAAGCTTGTTAGTTCTTCTGTGAGTTTTTTAATGTTTGCTGAGCCTGTAGAGGGTTGGAGAGTTTTGCAATTGATTTATAACTCAGGTAAATGTGTCCTGAGATCAGGACACGCCACAAACCCTCGAGAGAAAAAAAGGGGTTGTACACTCACACAGAAGCTGATGATGTGTGTGTTGGTGCCATAACAAGTTATAAACGGCAATTATTATTAAGACCTGAACCTGAACCTGAAAATGAAACTGAAACCAAGACTCTCAGTCCGAGTTCGAGTCCGAGTTCCTCGTATATTTTTCATGTTTCAAACATATAATTGTGCTTTTGATGTGTGTTTGGAAATTGTTTTTTAAGTGAAATTGCGTTGCTGAGGGCTGCACGCACACACACACACATACATATATCACATATTATTATTGGTGTGAGAATTGTGCAGAAAAAAAAATATATATATATATATATAAAGGGAGCGCAACACAGGTCATGGTATTTTGCGGATTATTATTCCCTTGATTGCGCATGGTTTTGGCTTCGGTGTTCGGTTTAAGGTTTAGGGTTTTTTTTTTTATATATGGCGTGATTTTTATGCACGTGGTTAAGGATCTTACAGAATTTAATTCTAAATTCAATAAAGGAATTTAAGGAGATGAAAACTTTAGGCGATTTACGAATATAAAAGGGAAAATGTGCTAAATAACTTTAGTAAAGAGTATTGAGCTCAGAAGTAAAGTTTTCTTGGGGTTTTTAAATGATATATTAATAAGGAAATTATTCTATAATTAAAACAAAAAACAAAGAGCGTAAATTATAAAATTTTAGAGTTTTTAAGTCATTTAAAAAAGTTTTTTAGATTACTTTCAATAGGAAAGAAATTTAAAAAATTTTAAACAAATATCTACTATAACAAATATTTATTTTAAAACATATTTAAATCCATTTTCATAAAAACTTTATAAAACAATAAAAATATAATATAAAAAGCATAACTATTTAAAAACTTTACAGAAGAAGTCTCTTTAAAGTTCTTATAAATTTCTATAAAATCACCAATCAATTATGACAAGTTAACTAATATATTTTTCCCCCTAAAAACCATAAGCCTAATTTTCCCTGAACCTTATATCTCTATCCCAACTCTTGACACTTTATTAATTTATCATTCGTATAAATATTTTCCTAGAAAAACCCACACCATATAAAACCCTCTATAACAGACTAGCCCCCAAAAATTATATACTCCACGGTTTTATCAAAAGTTTCTGTTGCTCTTTGAGAATTGGAATTGGAATTTCTTGACATTTTATCATACATTTTTGGGTGATCATTCCGCGGAAGAGGCAAAAACCCAATTGAGTCACATACTACAGGTAAAAATAATAGGTAAAGCCACTTACATCGTATACTTCTGGCCGCATTGTAGCCCCCAAATTTAAGGGTGTAAATTATAATCCAACATGGGTTTGTGCGTAGTATTCGTCGGGAGTCGGGAGTTGGCAGTCTACCGAAAGAGTTTTGAGTTTTTGAAGCGATTTTTTTGCTGAGCTTCGCAGAGTCTCAGTCCAAAACGGAAATCCAGAAACTCGTCGAGTTCGAATCTGATACTTTTTCGCTTGCAGCAGCGTCAACGAATTTTTTACAACTACACCGCAAAAAATAAATTAATGCAAACGCAGACAGACGGCAATTATTACGTATAGCTTTTTGTTTTGTTTTGTATTTGTATTTTGCAATTATTTCTTATTTCTTTGTTGTATTTTGTCAACCGCACTTTGCCTTGATATGTGTGTTTTTTATTACTTTTGATTAACAATATATGTAATATATGTAATTGGTTGTAATAAATATATATATATATGTATGCTATATATTTTTTGTATTGCACTTTCGACAACGACACGGGTTATATTTTTTGTATTCGAATAATTATTGATTTGCACAAATTGAATTTGATTTATTTGCGGCAACTTGTTGTATATTTTTGTATTCTTTGCACTTTTTTGCACTGGAAAACATATATTTTTCTCGTGTTTTTTAACTGGTTTTGGGTTTTAGGTTTTCGGTTTTGTTACGATTTTTAAAACAAAATCAGTTTATCAATTATCTCACTTGATTTATTTTGGTTTCACCTCACGCGTTCATATTTCAATTTATTGACTTTGGGCAGCTCGGCTTGGAATCGTTTCAAAAATATTTTCCAAAGCATTTCTGGCTGTGTGTGTGTGAGGGCCGTGTGCTCAGTGTGTGTGTGGGGGGGTTGTATTCGCCGCTTTCGCTGGCAACGATCTATAGCCGACGACGGGTGAAAAGAAACTGAACTGAAAACCCAACTGACTGAATACGAATACTGAATATTTCCTTCATACCATACAACCTCACCACTCACCACCGGCAGAGACTGCCTCTCTGCTATGCCGCGCAATTGAAAGTGTATTCCCGAGTTCATCCATATATTTTTTAATCGAAAACCTTCAACAAACGGTTTCCTACTTAGTGGCAAATTATTTTAAGCTTTAGTTACAAAATTCAAAGAGATTAGTAAGTTTTTCTAGTTGCACTCTAAATTTAAATATCTGTTTTCAAATGCATTAGCTATACCTCTTTATTTCGGGAAAATCGGCAATGAAATACTATTTAATTTATTTTAAAAAATTACCTTTAATTTTCTTTAAATTCTTACATTTTTTTTATATTTTTTAGTTTCTATTTATGGTTAGTATGCATATTATTATTTAGCTAGAGTAAACGTTCATGTTAAAATGTCAAAAAAATGTTCGGGAGTCGACCGAGGAATGTGTTCGACGCACGTGTTTGAACGTTCGACCCAACCCGAAACTGAATCTGAATCTGGCAGTCGTCGAACATCGAGCTCTGTGGCCGCCGACAACGAACCAAACCGAGCCGCCCCGAACCGAACCGACAAAGCCACCCGAACACCGAACGCTCATTTACAGTTTGTCGTTATAAATTCTCCGGAGCCGCCACCATGTCCATGTGGGTGATAGATGGCTAAGACGGTTTAGACGGCTATAGCAAGCAGTTAGCAGTTAACAATTTTTGGTTGTAGACAGGAATTTTTTGGGATAATATTAGGATGGAGGTTTCTAGAGATCGAATTCTTAGGGGGGTTTTTGGGGTGGTATTTGGGTTGTTTTTTGAGAGTTTTAAATTGTATATATGTAAACAAATATAATAAATTTATATATCTATCTATCTATAAACATGTATGTGTGCTGGATTTTTTTAAATATAGTAAACCCTTAAAAAAGACTTGAATTCCTAAGCTGATATTTCACTTAAGTTTATAAAACGCATTAAAAATAACTTAAGCCTTTAAGTTTAAATCTTAAGAAAAATATGAACTCTTAATTTGGTACAGAAAAACACTTTGTTCATAATTTTAAAAACATTTTTAAGGAGCTTAAAAATCCCGAATATTTATTAAGACACCGAAAATGTAGTTAAGAGTTATTAAAAAAAAAAAACCATCCAAGTTATTTATTAAAAATAAATATTATAAATATTTAGGCTATGATTTTTACAAAGCTGAAAAAATATATTAAATAAATGAATTAAGTTATATCAAAGTTAAATAAATAAATAAAAAATACAATTTAGCCTGTCTTTTACAATTCTTCTATTAATAAACACAATCATATAATTTCCCAGGTTATCTTCTCCTGAATTAGACCAAAAGTCTTAACCCAGCCTTCATAAATTAGAATGTTAGCAAGTTTTCCATATGTCATTCTTTGAAATGTTGACTCCATTTAAAGAAACTAGGTCTCTCCCAGTCAGATAATGATCTTTAGAGTTGCGTCCACCTGCTCTACTTTCCATAAAAAAAAAATAGTAACAAAAAAAAAAAGAGTACAAAAAAAGTATAAAAGTAGAACAACACCCACCACCCAGTTGGCCAAACGATCCCGAATTCCAAAACAACAAAAACTCAACACTGAATGCCGAAAATGCCAGACGATATTGGGCAAGGTCCAGTTGGCGAGCCATTAGCAAAGTTGCCCCTGCATTTTGATATTGATCGATTAGCCGAGCGGCTTGTATCAGGCAGTTTTATTGATCATGGCTGTAAATCACAAAGTGTGTGTGTTCCCTGAGTGTATGTGAGTGTGTGTTTGTGGTGTGTGCCGCCAGCGACCCAAAAACAAAGCACAAATCGTACTGTGATTACATTAAGCAATATTTTTTTTATTTTTCGGTCACCAAGGAGAGAAAAATAACAGGTGAGTCTATGGGGGATTTGTGTTTAAGAAAAAAAAAAAAGAAAAATATAAATTGAGCTGAGGAAATTCAAAAGTAAAGTTTTTTGTTATGAAACTTATTAATATAATTTATGCAAATAACTGTCATATTCCATGATGGGGATCTTAACCAATATTTAAGAACCTAATTAAGGAAATTAATTTAAGGTTTTGTGTATTTATGTTTGTGTATTTCAGTTTCACTGAAATAACTTAATTAAATTATTAAATGTATATTTACAATTACCCAAAGAAACCAAACTCAATCGGTTGTTGCAATGTATTCATTAAAGTTTTACTTTAAATATTTATATTAATAGGAAGAAAGTTGTAATATTTATAGATAAACTTTTAAAAAAAGATATTTATAATGCTGTTTGTATAAGCAAACATAAACTGAAAGGCTCAATTAAAGGTAAATTAAAAGCTTTACCTTACATTATTTTCTTCTTAAATCCAGTTTATAGTTTATTGTCAATGAATTTTTCTTGCAAAACCTTTTCTAAATAAATAATTTATGATTATTAAACAAGGTGAAGTCGGGCTGCTTCTTAAAATAATATTTGTTTAAACTGAAGAAAACCATAAAAATTATAGGGATTTTCCAGCTAATATTTCATCCTAAAATTAGTTTTCCACCTTTATTCCTAAATCAGCATCATCATGATTCTCTGAAGAAATAACCCAGTGAGACCCCACATTATCTCCAAGGGGAACTTCCCCCGAAAAAAAGAGAATCTCAACACAACTAGCAATTGTGGACTTTGTGCTCGTGTTTTCAATTTCCAATTAACTCCGATACGCAGATAACTGCACAAGTTTTTTTGTGATAGGTTCAATTAAAAGAAGATCTGGCCATGAATGGAGGTACATACCATAGCTTCGAACCCCCCTAAAAAAAACAGTAGCATTGCTCCCTGTGTTATCACTAGGAATGCCTAAGTGATCACGAATATTCTGCGGTGTCAGCTACTTTGTTTACGATTCTCTTCTCTCAAGTGACGCATAATTGGGGGGCAGAAATTTGAATGCCGAAGAATTCCGATTTGCGATATGCGAGAATAATAATGATGAAATGGCAGAATGGTTGTTTATCACGTATTCTGTTTGCTTGGGGCCATAAAGCTGATGAAATTGATAATGGGAATTAGGACTCTGTAAGTCCGATAAAGTCGCTCAAATATCAGTTTATAGAAAAATTTGATGAGGAATTTCTTTGGTTTCATTTTGTTAACAGTTCGAACGAGCGAGGCTCTGTTAACGGGGTGCGGTTCGAACATGTTGTGTAAGCTGTTAACCAAGCTCTAGCTCGAGTTTAACAGCGTTGGACAAGCAGTTCAATTCGTCAATTTTGCAAGCAGTGCTATTTTGAGCCAGCTGTTAGTTGGTGTTTGTTAACATTTTGGTTTGATGTAAAGCATCGAACTTGTCTGCATGAAAAACTTAACATTAAAGGGTGAATTTAATGGAGAAATAAAGTTTTATTAAATATAAAATATAAATTTAGGGGACTAAAAAATATTTTGAAAAAAAAAATAAAATAAATTAATTAATTTTCATACATTTAATATGTATATTACGATTACTACAAATGTAATTGTTTAAATTATTTATAATGAATATTAAATAAAAAATATATCGATTTTTAAGAAGTTTACCTAACAAAAAATTAAAAATTTTTAAGTACACATTAACTCAGATGACAAATTATGAGACCACTTGACCTAAAGACAAGCAAGACTTTCGGGCAAGAAATTTAATGAAGATTTATGAGCCATTTCGTTGATTTTTCGCAACAATGAAAGTAAGGAAAAAAGCCGAAAATTAGACACTGATAATGACAATGATAAATTAATTTAACTCATGAGTTAAATGCAAAATTCCAAAAAGTCAAACTTAAGCAGACGAAGCTGATAATTTTGATAACAAACCAAAAGCGTGTGAAAAATATAGGTATTTATTAATAATCAAAAAATTTCATTTTATTTTACTTGCAGTAATCCTGTACTTCACTTATTCCTATAACTCAATTGTCTAAGGTAAGTCTTTATGGTCTTTATAATGCCACCCACACACTCACTGTATTTTTAAGCAAGAATAACTCTAAAAAAAAAACCGCACAGACATTTCCTAGTAGCTGTAACTGAATAATTACAGATAGGTTTCTTATTATGCAACTGAGGTCCTTGCAGCTCTTTTTCTGTTTCCTTTTTATATATATTTTTTGGCCAACTCAGCAGGACATGGCAGGGCAGTGAAAAGTGTCACTGGCGCCATGTCGCGTCAAAAGAAAAATAGCAAAACGAGAAAGGAAAAAAATGTGTGAAATCCACAAACAAAGAAAAACAAATTCACATATTTATGAGGATGTCAGGTGTCGTCCCCCGGACAAGTCAATTTTGGATTTTGTTTTCCTAGCAAAAAAAAGATATTAATACTGCTGCAGCATCTCTGATTTATGAGTCTGTGGGTGTCCTTCCGAGACGAGTCCCCGTCATATCTGATGCAAATGTGTCACACTCACGGCAAACACAAGAGTTAATTCCCTCTCATTTCGCCACTAAGCCTGCCGCGTCCCTGGACCCAAGCTCAGTGAAAATAAAAACCCTGAGAAATATTTTAATTAAAATTCACTGTGCTCCGAAAAGAAATACAAAAAAAACGAGAAGAAATGAAACTACCAAAAACCACAGGCAGACAGGATAAACCTAAACCTCCGCCGCCGCCTGATCTCAACTGATAAACGCGAAAACCAACAACAAGAGTGGCCCAAAGGCAACGGTGGGCGTTGGTACAAAAAACGATCTGCAAAAAAATAAGTAAAATACAAGCAAATGCGAAATATGTGAGGGTTTTTGTATAAAAGGAATTTTGAAATACTCTTAAAAAAATGTTATTTATATTTTCAAAAAGATTTTTTTTAGAAAAAATTTGTTTATGTGATGCAAATTGTTAAAAAATGTTTTTTAGATTTTCATTATATATTATTAATAAGCCTAAGCCAAAATTAGAAATTTTAAATACTATAAAGAATAGTTCTTCTTGCTGA